TTTGGGTGAAGAACAGGTTTTAATTGGGTAATTCGAGTTGAAATGAGAGAGTTAATCGTTTACAATCGTACTATTGCGTGATTTGATACTACCACTCGTTTCATATTATAACGTACAATTTTGTGTAAATCATCATATAACATAAACTATGCGGTTCTATTACAATAGTACGATTACAACGGGATATCGAGTTTCGTTACGCCAGCGATATATCGGAGCATCTAGGATTTGTCGTTATGTTACATTAGTAGGAGGAACCCCCCCCCAGTAGAGGAGGAACAACTCTCTCTTAATGTAAACCATACGACAATCTAGATGCTGCTATATCGCTGCCGGTAACGAACCTCATATCGCTCGCGCTCACACGCTACTCCTTGTCAATAGAACGCATAGTTTATGTTATAATGATGATTTACACACAATTTAGTACGGGGTTAATAAATGAAACGAGTGGATCTATCAAATCACGCACATTGATTACTCTCTCATTTCACTCGAATTACCCCATTAGAAACAACAGTAAATTTAAAATCCAGAGGATCAGCAATGAATATTAAAGTTAATCCAGTGCGATCTAGACAATACTTGAATGATATTTCACTCGAAACTATAAATTTCTATCTCATTGTGACATGGAAAGAAATGTACCGATGTCAGTCAATGGGCCCCGTGGATATCTGTACAAAATATCATCCATATGTGGCGGTGTGGTGCTCGTGTAAAATGCTCGGTTTGCTGACAACGCCACCTGGGGGAGTTTCGCCCCCAGGAAATTACTAAAGCTAAAGTTTATCCAATTTAATAAAAGGCAATCAGGTTCGTTTGAACACCACACGCAGAGACAGTGTAAAGGATATTACCACAATTGTTATTTTATTTATACATAATTACATTTCTAATCATAAACAATATCATTTTCTAAAAGTTCTCCAGGGAGGAGGGAGAAGGACATTGCTGGGGCTTACCAAGGCGGCAATTAACAAAACGGGAGGGAGCAGTTTTGTCACCTCCACTTAAATAGCAGGTGCGCTGGCATGGTGCCAAGCAGCGTCACAGAGGGAGAAGACATCCGGTCACATCTACCCCCCACTTTTGCATCGTCGACCCGACAGTGAATATAAGAAAGGCCTGAAAACGGCAGACTGGGAATTAGACACAGGGGCTCGAAGTGGACTCGCTGCATTGTCCTGAGGGCCAGTAGACCGAGGAAGATGGTGGACATTTGAGTGGTGGCCAGCCGTAGGGCGAACGGTTCGACTCTGAAAGACCTGGGAGGAAGCAACCTGCAGAGTGAGGCGCTTCCTGAACAGGCCTGGCCTGCAAAGGGGTTCCTTCACCAGATGGAGCCTTCACAACCTGGTGGACCACAGAGCTCCAGAGAGCCCTCTAACCCCAACCCCATGGTCCCTCAGATACACCATTTGCCAAACTGGGCGCAACGGTGGGCGGCCCAGCTCCGGTCACACATACAGTTGTTGTTGAGAGATTTCAGACCAAAGGGATGGCGGACTTAACTCAAACATGGTTAAAAATGATCTATCTCATACTATATGATTGTTTGTGCAATGATGTTGTCCCCTCTGTGTGTGTCCTGTAGGAGTGGCTGGATTTGCGCTGCAGAGGTGTTCGCAATGCCAACGCCTACATCCTGGTGTACGACATCTGCTGCGTGGAGAGCTTTGAATACGTCAAGATGATCAGACAGCAGATAGTGGAGTACAGGTATGACGACACCCCGCTCTCAGCTAGGATGATTGTTTCTGAACATTCAGCAGAGTGACATACAGCTTGTTTAGCCTCAGCGTTGATTTCTAATCTCATCACCATTTCATCCATCTGGTAACAGCTTGCCATTTCACAGACCTTCCACAGAGCAGGACAATTACACGTCTGTGACAGTGTGACAGTGAAAGTCTGCGCATGGTGCTATATTTTAATTTAGCACAGTCCCCACTGCATCCTGACAGCTTAGTAATGACATTTGATGCTGTCATTTCTGCACGAGAGCAGTCTGACATTTCAGTAGTGATTTTGAAGATACATTTGTGGGGATATTTTTCCTTTTGTTAGACAGAGCACAGCTACAAGAAAACAGGAAGTATAAGAACCAGAGGGAGATGTAATAAATGTCTCCTGGCAGGCTTTGAACACACGCAAGAGGCAGAAAGAACCTTACACTTGTGGGGGGGAAAATACCAATGAAAGGCATCACCTGCACTAACATCCTCGCTGTTGGCATTCATGCATATATTTACATATTGAAAGAGTACAATGACTGGCCTCATTTGTGCTGCTATGTATGTACACGGCCAAACTGCCAATGCACAGATCATCCCCACCTACCTGCGGCTGCAAATGTGTTGCCATGAATGTTCATAGCCCGTGACAGAAAACCATTATCACCAGCAACTAGAGGGAAGGAAGGGTGAATGTAAAACAGGAGAACTGTATAATCAAAAAGCTCTGAGACCAGACTGCAGACGGGAAGGACAAAGCAGAGAAGGGACGGGTACTGAAATATTGAATAATGGAGGCTGTTGCAGCACGAGTGGGGAGGAGGGGTGTACTATAAATGTCAACTATAGAAAATATAATCTTAAAATGCTCAGCACAATTCTGTTGACATAATCAGTTGAAGCCAGAATGAACTTGTTTTTCTATTTTCTTTGGCATTTTAGTATGAAGCCCACCTCAGGGAAGATGACGCACAGACTCACACATACATCACATCCGGCTTTAATACACAAGTTCAAGCAGATATGTGAGGAGATATGTTTGAGTCTGTTTCGAGAGCACAATCTTTTGAAAAAAGGGAAATTGCGATAATAACTGCAATGTGTTTTCTCAACCCTACATCTTTGAGAACTTTGCCTCAGATGGCTTGAAAACGATACTGTACATTTCTCTCTCTGCTTTTTCTTTCCGCCAAGCTATCTGTCCATCTGTGAAGGCAGACGTGCAAATATGCACATGCATGCAAGTACTTGTCAGAGGCACGATGTATCAAAAAGAAAACATTATTCCGCATTAGTGAAAGCAGCAGCTTTAACAATATATATACCATATTTGACATTGAGCTGAACAGGTGAACAGATGTCTTGCTGTTACACTCACTGCTGCCTTGAGATTAACAATGTGCCTTTTTAATAGTGAATTCAACGGTAGGTAGTTGTTATTTTATTTTTCAAGAAAAAACCTCCTTAAAGCTCCCTGCTCTCCTGCCTTTGGCCCCCAACCAAAGATAATCTCATTGTAATACATCGAATTAACATAATGAGCCTTCTTTCCTTCATGGTATTTGGTCTAAAATCCTTTTTGTACTTTGCTGTAGTCATCGTTCTTTCATTTAAATTAGAGCTTCAGATTGGATTTCCAAACTCCCACTAATCTGTGTTACTAGAAATGGATGCACTTCTCCTAGATGTTTAATTTTTTGAACACTGTAAGAAGCATTATACTGTAAATCCCAAGTCACTTATGTATTCCCACCTCTGGCTTTCTATACATGTTAACCCTTCATGATGCTGTGCACCAGTTGCAGCAGAGAGTGGTGGGAGGCCCCCTGAGCCTTGAAGCACTAATCCTCCAGTCCTCCCACGCACACCTCCGAAGGAAGGGAAAACACAGGCATTTTGCGCACTCCAAGCCACCAACAAAAACACACAAATATTGGTGATTTTTTAAATTAACCTTTTTCTCTTCTGGTCTCACTTGCCCCCGCAGGGAAGGCAGCAGCAGTGAGGTGCCAATCCTGGTGGTGGGCACCAAGAGAGATCTGCAGCGGCAGCGCTTCATGCCTCGCAGGGCGGTCTCAGTCCTGGTGAAAAAGACCTGGAAGTGTGGCTATGTGGAGTGCTCAGCCAAGTTTAACTGGCACGTCGTCCTGCTCTTCAAAGAGCTGCTGGGCATCGCTGTGTCACGCGGCATGCGCGGGAACCATACCGCCATCCGCCTGCAGGGGGCGCTGCAGAGGAACCGCTGCAGCATCATGTGAGCCCGAGAGCTCCCTCCAGCCCTCTCACCTCAGGAGTGGAGGGGCAGTGGAGAAAGAAAACTGGACTTTTTATATAAATGGCTGGAAAGATACCCTGTGGCCTCCTGCTTTACTGAGCTGATTTTTCACAATGAGGTTATAGTCTCTTGCGCTGTAAAAGATACCCACATTTCACACAGTCATCCAACCACTTCCTAGTCAGATTCTGCGAAATGTGTAAATGCAAGGAAGGAAGTATAGAAAGCAAGTGAAAACCAATATGAATAGCAAAGCACAGTTCTTTTTTCTTACATCAACTCGACGGTAACTAATTTGAGGCTTCCCAAATGACACAGCGACAGGTCTTTAGAGGGTTGTGTCGTGGATGTAGGGCCTGACAGGGTGAGGCTAGCATTGTGAGACTTTCAACAAGTGGCAGCAATATAGAGTCTTCCTTCATTCAGAAAGGTCATATCTAACAGATTTTGATTTGATTGAGGGTTTATGTTCAACAAAATATAAAACAGAGCTCAAATAAATAAGCTTCACTTCCAGGGGGAGTATTTCCATATGTGTAGATACATTTTGGATTCTGAGAAGTTGCCTGCATTCTTTTTTTCCTTTGACTTCCCTGTATTAAACTTGGCCTATACAGAGAAAGCTGTTTGTTCAGACGAAAGGGGTTTTAAGGTTGTCTTGCTGCAGAAAATGCTGCAGTCCCTATCACGATGTGGGCTTTAATATGCTCCCTCCCCTTACTCAGTGTCTGTTTCTGAAGAATACATTCAATCCAGGGAACTGCAGGAGGCTGCAGAGCCTGAAACAAGTACGTGTGTGTGTGTGTGTGTGTGTGTGTGTGTGTGTGTGTGTGTGTGTGTGTGTGTGTGTGTGTGTGTGTGTGAGAGAGAGAGAGAGGCACGTTTGATAGCTGACATTCAGGCAAGCAAAGGACAGGCACGGCAAGACTAACGACTGATGTAGAATGGATTAGGGAGGAGCAATAAAATCTCACATGTCCTGGCTGACTGTATGTATTCCCACATTATACTAAAAATGCCTCACGTATAGTAGACGTAATCCTCTCACTCCGATATCCTGCAGATATAAGGAAGCAGAGCTTAGTGACTTCCATAAAACACCCCATGAGTGTAACACAGACACACAGGGAACCTTGAAAAAGCTTTCTTATCAGTAAGTCAATAGTATCCAATTGGTAATGTGAACAGTTGCTTTTTCATTTGATTAGACCTAGTTAGGCAGTGTGAACATGGCTGCACTGAAAGTAAGCAGACCTATTGTATATAAGAGTGATTCATGGAGTAATTGACTTGCATGCTTTTGTTGGTAGAGCCAACGGGTCAGGGTTCAATTGCACTGATGTGAAAATGTAATATTGTGATTAATTTTTGTAATGGTTTTCTGACACTGTAATGAGCAGCTGAGCGGAGTGAATGTGGATGTTTTTCAATGGCATGCGAGAGCACCAGCTCTTGATTCTCTCAACGATGTAGTGCACCCTTCATCAGGGCAGATGGCTGTGTTAGTTTTTTGTTTATTTTTTTCTAGTAAAAAAAGAAATATGTAGCAGCAACTGTGTGTAGCATGAGTTCTCATCAGTTTGTCTGTGTGCGCGTTTCCTAATAAAAAGGGCTACCGTTTTTTTATCAGAAACGTTACTTATATTTATTTTTATTGTGTAATAAGTACTGTGAGTATTTTTTTTTACATAATGAAACATTAAATGCTTTTGAGAACAGCAACCTCACTCTGGTCACTTTTCCATCTTGTTCTAAAATTACATCACATTAAGATCATTTGACAACATTGCCACCGTGTGGTAACGCATTGTTATCAGGAGCCAAATCAAAGAACAACGGATCAGGCATCACACACTGAACCCACTATTTACTTTGAGTTTAAAATGTATTCTTAAATGTACTCAACACTTGGTGATCATCTGGTGAACTCCCCATTGTAATAGCTAATATACTTTCATTTAAGGTGGTTAGGTTATAATGAGTCAGTAATATACTGTTTAAGAACTTTAGTTGTGAAATTATCTCAGCACTGATAGTTCTTTAAATCATCTCCGCCTTTCTTCTGTGGGTAACCTGGCTACATTAACCTCTCATTGAATACAGGGGAAATCATTTGTTGTGTACCATTATCAACTCCTGACCTCCTATTTCTACAGGCATGCACAATTGAATTTACCCTGTCGCAAACAAATTAAGAAAATTGTGATAATATACATTTTAGACATTTATACTCTTCAAGACAGAGTGTTAATGCATACTACCAAAAGTATATAAACAGTAAGTGGTCCTGGCATTTGGTGCCCCAGAGGATCTGTCACTTTTCTGCTTTGTCTGTTTGATAATCAGACCTTGTTGGTAATCGAGAAACGTATGCCAATGATCTTGTAATTCTGAGGTTTAAAGAAACTCAGTACATTTACTCAAGTACTGTACAGTATTTTACCCGAGTGCTTCCATTTCCTGCTACTTTATACTCATACTCACCACATTTATAGGAAAATATTGTACAACACAGAATGTATTGTATTACTTAAGTTATTTTAAAGTTAGAATGACACAAAACCAATGTTATTTTCAATACTTCCGAGCAAACAATAGACTGTATAAACTAACAATTAATGTGCTAACTTTCCAATATTAGGGAACATTATAAATAGTTCAATTGTTTTTTTATAGTATTAATGTAATGTGATCCAGTGACTCCAAATTCACACATAATTTTATTTCTAAAATGGAAAAAATAAGACAGTGGGTTATAGTGCTTTTTCTATGTTATATTTAAAAAACATTTCAATGATAATTAGACAGTCAATTTTTATTGGTAAAGTTTGGGATTTGGAAGCTTCTTTATTTTACACGAAACATTCGTGTAAAAATAAAATAAAGCCCTTAAATCCAATAAAAAGAGGTGTGTGGTATTTGTCCAGAGCAGTATACATATTTTGTCAATGGCTCACATGAAACGGAAGCTTTAAAAAATAATGTGACTTCAAATTCCGACTATTGATTTTAGGTTTTCGTACATTTAATGATAAGATGAACTTTTTACATATAGACCTGTGTGAATTGATGCCAAAAGCTTATCACTACAGTTTATCATTCAATAAGCTTCAATTATGTATATTCTACGTCTACTCACCTGACAAGTGAAACCAACAGCCAAACCGCATGTCAAATGTTTAGGAATGTTAAGATAACAACATCACGTGGTGCAAGTCAGTATCGTAGACTTGAATCGATAGAGCTGCAATTTCCATTTAAACTTTATTAATAGTAACAGAAGCCGCTCCCTCCTAACAGGACAGCCTTAAACTGTTTGGCACTGTCATCATGGAAAAAAACATTGTTGATTTGGTCAAAGCATTATCTAATTATTGAATGGCTATGCAAGGAACTCCCTTTCTACTCTGTCCAGCTCTATGCTCTGGATACTCTGCAGTCTGCATCAGCAAAGTGTCTTGGCATCACTTCTCGTCCTTCCTTTGGAGTCCATTCCGGCGTCATGTGAAAGGGGTTCACGGTGGTGTCTCTCGCCCTAGACCGGACCCTCCTCTTTCCAGCTCACCCGTCAGTGCCAACGTCCTAGCCACGGTCGTCCCGGTGGGAAGTGTCCCTGTCCTCGCTGTCCCCGGTTCATCCCGGTCGGAGGATGAGCGATCCGGGGAAGGGCAGCTCCGCCTCTGCCGCGGCCCCAGCTCCAGGGTCGGATACTTACAAAGGCTGGCTTTTTAAATGGACCAACTATTTGAAAGGGTACCAGCGGAGATGGTTTGTCCTCAGCAATGGCCTGCTTTCATATTACAGGTAAATAAAGATGCAGGGTGCATTATTTCTCAAAGTAAACGCGGACTTGGTCGCTTCATGTGTCGGTGCATCCTTACAGCTGGCTGCCTCAGCTGGCTAGCATCAGGCTAACAGCTAGATGTCAAACGCACAGAGTCAGCTGCCTGTTCCCTTCAAGCTGACAGTGATAAATACGTAGACGTTTTTACTTTGAATGACTCTATATTGATGAAAGGCACCAACACATATAGATACTCACACAGCAGTAATGGCAACACAACTTCTAAGTCATTAAAGTGTCAGGAAGGGGCTACAGTTGGTATGGACGTTAGCTAGCATAGTAAGCTAATTTGCTAGTCTTAGTCTGTGACAGCTGGATACTCCTCGGTATTATATATATATTAAACTCCTCTTTTAAAGGTGTTGTTAGAAAAGACAACGTCAACGACTAATATGTAATTCATGATAAATGTCATGTTTTTGTTTGCTAAATTACTTAATTAATTGCATTAGATAGAGAGTTAAAAAGCCACTCTGAATGATGACCGAAACGAGATGCAAGAGATTGTTGCTAATATTATCATCCATCTCTTTCACTCTGATAGACAGAGCTGTGAGCTAACCTTAGCTTTACAATAGCGTAACACCTGTGGCTGTGCTTCATGCACAAGTGTTTTACAGAGATTATACATAGCACTTGACTTGTTATTGATTAATTTGAGCCCTGATACTGCAAGACTGGAAGTCTTTTTATATCATCCATCTGAAATCCAGCCGTTTCATCAGAAAATGTGACAAGACCTTTGTCCTCCCTCTCCTTAACTTCTTTCATTTTTAATTACTTAATTAAAAAAAAAACTCAGTTTTAATACTCTGAAGCAATCATATACACTTCTTAAAGTCAGTCTTCCTTGGTGCTTAGGGTATGATTACAGAGCATAAAAGATTTGACTGCAACTAAAGCTGCCGTATCAGTGAATCCTTACATTTTATAGTGCAGTAGACCTGTCTCGTTTCCTTCTCAGCTGCAGGACAGTAGGACTCATGTTTCCACAGGTGTGGCAGTGGACTAGACGCATCATAAAGCACAACACACATTTAATACTTCTGCCAAAAAAACATTCCGTGTGCCTTATCACAGAGAATTCCTGTATATTGTAAATGGTGGTCTGATTAGATTGTAAAACGGCAACACTTTATAATTGTTAGTCTAATGTTAACCTTACCATCAGGTGAATAAACTGTCACATGCTCTGTGGAAGTCCCTCAAGGTACAATGTCTAGCACTTTCAGAGCTGTCACCTGAGCCAGCCCCAGGATTATGATTGTTTTGTCCCTAAAGAGCTTGGTACTTTCACTTGATTTCACTGCTGGGCTTTTGCTTGTTCAACCATCCAGCTTTCTTTCACTGTTTTATGCTTTTGTCAACATTCAAATATTCTGCCATATCGCCTTCTGGGCCACGTTGTCCTTTGTGCACTTCATTAGTTCCCGTTTCAGTCTGGGTCCTGGGACTGCAGGCCAAAACATTGACTCACATTGCTTCCCTGCAGCTCCAACAGTCATACAGTAAATGCCATCTTGTAAAATTAGAATGTTCAGATCAGGTCAACGCCACATTCAGAGCCCATTTCATCCCACCCTACAGCCTTCTTCAGCACCCTATTGTCTTGCGTTGTCAGCGGTGCTATTTGACACAGAGGTAAAGTTGCCAAAGTCCTACTCCTGCCTGAGCTTGTGGTGAAAGAAAAGACGCCTGTTGCCTCTCCCCTTTATGAATAGTCCATTATGTTGTAAGGTGACTGCTGTACCTGAAGTAAAGGTAGCCCATAGACATCTGAGCTCAGAGGCAGTGAAGCAACGGGTTGTCCCCTCCACTGATGTCTTCCTGGCAGGCCGCATTGTGTGTGTCTGACTCCAGGCTTTGTGCTCCTCTGTCTGTGCCTCCTCTGTCTGTGCCTCCTCTGCCTGCCTGTCTGCACCTCTATTGTTAGGGGAGTGACAGGGAAACAGTCACAGTTCCTTGTCCTAAAATATAAGGACTGAAACATAGAGAATATTCCAGTTCTTCTACCAACACTAATAATAATAGGACCGCTCTCATTTTCAATATGACTTATCAGTTGTTTGATTTGCGATGTTGAGTATTTGTTTGCCCTTTTTTTTAAATGCCAGTTTGTATTACTGATAAATCTATAGTGACTGACTTCTCAATAAGAGGTCTAGCCCATAACCTGATAGAGATTTTCAATTCCCAAGGCCTGCTGTTTTCAGAGCAATGGCTTGACTCTCCAACTCGTCGCTGAGGCGCCAAAGGGCAATGGAGGATGGTAATCGATGCTTGGACTCTGGGCGGACTAATACACTCAGCACTTGCGCCTGTTTAAGTGTAATGAGTTTTACAGAGATTCAACATAGCACTTGTTATTGATTAATTTAGGCTCTGACACTGCAAGACTGGCAGTCTTTTAGACTACATCAGCCTTGAGGTGTTTTTTGTCTAAATCATCCAAAAGAGCCTAATCGAGCCGTTTCACCAGAAAATGTATCAAGATCTTTGTCCTCCTTCTCACACTGAGCTTCTTTCATTTTGAATTCCTTTAAGAAAAACTCAAAGTTGTAATACTCTGAACCAATCTTACTCACTTCTTAAAATCAATCTTCCTTGGTGCTTAAGGTATGCTTACGGGGCATTAAAGGTTTGAGTGCAATTATAGCTGAGTGAATCCTTTTATAGTGCAGTAGGGCCTGCCTCGTTTCCTTCTCAGCTGCAGGGTAGTGACTAGATAATACATTGAAATGCTCAGAGGTGGTAAGGTACCTTCTTGTGTCCTTTGTCAGGTTGTTTTTGTTTTGGCTCGCTCAGCTCGTGGGTGCAGGGTGGCGTG